GCTTCTCTATCTGTTCTAAAGAATTGATGGATCTCCCAATGCCTCCATGCATACAGATAATTTTCTTTTCAATTAGAGCAGCAAGTGGGAGATAGTTGAAAAGTTGATTGAATCGAGTCCATGCCCATATTCCATCATTCTCGCCCTACATGCACATAAATCAGTATAACTTTTAATATTTTGAAATCCAGAGAAGACTGCATCATGTCCGTATAATTAAAACCCGTACCATTCTCTCAATGCATTCAATACGAAAACCAAAGAGTGCATTTATATCAGCAGCTTCATGGTTTCCACGTATTAAGTGAACATTGTCAGGATGCTCAATCTGCAAAAACAATCAGGGCATATGGTCAAATATAAAAGTGGGGAGTACAAAAATATATAAATTAGGTTACTTAAAGCAGCACTTGCCTTCAGTGCAAGGAGCAAAGTTATGGTCTCCAAGCTGTGCTGTCCTCGATCGACATAATCCCCCAAAAACAAGTAGTCGATATACCTGTAACAATAGCTAGCCTAGCTGAAAAGTCTGTTTTATTTTTTGATTCATAGTTTATATAGCTGTAACATTTAGAAAAATTATTAAACAAAGAATTGGAGTGAATTCTTTCATATTCGACTTTATTTCTTCAGTAAAACTCAAGAGTCACAGTTCTGGTGCAAAACAAATTCTTTCTACAAGTACATTGACAGATATAGCATGAGCAAAAATATTCAACTTACGTTATGTCTCCGGCAGCAGATGGAAATCCATATTCATCAAATAAGCGCATTAAATCACCAAACTGTCCATGAAGATCGCCAAATACTTTAACAGGGGCTTTCAGCTGAAGAACTGTTTGCTCCTGCATAAAGATCTGCTCAGCAGCATAACAAAGTTCTCCCACTTCATAAGAATCCATGAAAAACTTCCTATTGACAGGGGCTTTCCAGTTTCGAGGCCTCAACAATGTAGATATAACCTGCAAGGAAACAAATAACCAGACCAAAACCTGTCAATTAACACATAACAAAAAAATCCTTCAAGTAAAAAAAATTACGGAGAGAGAGAGAGGGTGGCTCAAATGTTAATTGACACTTGCCTTTTTATGTAGCCCTTGTGGAGACTTCTGCCTGGTGAACTTTTTGTTGGGATATGATAAGTCATTATTCATTGGAATCATTCGTCTGCTTTCATTTTCAAATTGGTCCAAAGACAACTGTCTTACCATCCCACCCAAGTTACCTACAGCCTCTTTGGCAACAACAACCTACAACAACAGCAAATTATAATTTATGCCGCTCAAAGAAGAAAAAATCCCTCAATTAAGTTTTGATGCAAAGGACATACAGCTCTGTGATGAAGGCGAACATCAGCCTCAGTGTCACTACCATCCGACAATGTTTCTGCAACTTGCGAGTTATCATCTGAAACAGATGTTTCTTCAGCAGGAGTAGCAGATGTTGACTGCACAGCTTGCCAAACAGCACTAGCTGCCTCAGCTTCGGCAGCAGAAGCCTCCCGGAGTTTCTCCATTGAACTTTTGTCCATGCTGCCAAAAATAACGATTTATGGCACAAATTATGAGCACGTGGCTCAGTCAAAGTACTTGGTAGAGAGGGAAAAGACGAAACAGAATAATACCTTGAGCGACTTGATGAGGGACTCTCATGTTCACCATCAGATGATGTTCCAAAAGTACTTGTGTTGGCATGAAACATTCTGGGACTTGATACAGTTGGGGGTCTCTCAGAAGTTAAAACAGGCGAATTACCTTCAGACTGAAATAATGAATTTTCTGCAACTAGGAAGTCATCTAACAGGATGTCTGTACAAGAAGATAAACAAAAGACCTTAAACATGATAGAACCACGTAAGCAGAGGAAGGCTGCATCCATTATTCAATTACATTATTCATATTTTCATTTGGGTTCTAAACTCTTTACCTCCCTTAAGACCACCATAAATGTATATACGAACACCAAGAGATGCAGCTGCATGGCGGCAACGACGCATGAGCTCCAAAGGAGGATCATAATCATTCTGTCCCTTTCCTGTGCGTGAGGAAGTCACAAGCCCATTTCTGTCTAACCAAACTCCAGCAGCAGTGTCCAATACTATCAAATAAGAAGAAAGGAAGATAGAAACAAAAGATATTAAGAAAATTTAATGAACTTACATAATCATGTGGTAACAAAATTCGCAACCAAAAAATTACCTGCAACAGCTGCTTCGCCTTCTATACAACGGCCTCCCCTAAGAGTACCTCCTGTAACATGTAATCTTGCCCCAACAAAAACCTGATAGCAGAATAGTCAATTAGGTGCTAAAATAAGGTTCAAACTCAAAAGGGTAAAGGTAACTCAGAAGATAGGCAGCTAGGTGTGTAGAAAATGCAAAATGCATTAGTACCACAAACATTATATGATTTCTTCTATCAAAATATGTTCAGTAACCTAAGTGCTTCACTCCAAAGAAAAAAGTAAAAAAAAAAAAAAAAACATATAAAATAATCATGCAACACACAAATGGGTAACTCTGCATTCCTAGTTTATATATTATCACTTACCGCCGCATGTTGATACCTTGGTGAAGGTGATACTCCAGGTGCAAGGGTCCACTCCCACTGACCATTTCTATGCATAAGCAGTCCATAAGCGTCTGCTAGTGGCTGTGGGAGCATAGATATGAGCAAAGCAAACAAAATCAGATAACTCGTTTAGCTCAAGTGGCCTCCAGTATAAATTGATAGAGGCAATATACAAGAATGATAGAGAGGTAGACTCAGATTTCACATACCGCTCCAGAAATATCTCTTCCACCACAAAGCAAAAACATACCATCTGAGCGGGCACTGGCTGTTGCATACCTGCAAAATAAGGTTGGTTCATAAAAACAAAGTTCACCACCACTTTCATAACTTTTCACTTATTGAAATATGAATACTACTCACATTCTAGCAGAAGGCCTATCACCTTCTGGGCTCAGCCTAGCCCATGCATAAGGCTTCTGAGCAGTATCCAGAGCCCAGGCATCAGAAAGGACTCTTTTTCCTTTAAAAAAAATATTAGGTAAAGATAGTAAACGTCAATGCTTCAAAAAGTAACTGCATTTGACAACAGTGAAGTGCATGGAATCTATGGATGGATAGCGAACAAATAGGGTTTAAAGAATACACCCACCATCGTTTCCACTGACAGTAACAAGATATCTTTGAGCAACTAAGTCCATTACATGGCCGTAGCGAGGCCCAGGACCTTGTCCTTGTACAACCACTCTACGGACAGAGAACAAAAACCAAAAACAGATCATTTGTACCGTATATTTGAAGATTAATCAGTAAACTCTCCAGTAGGATAAGCTCAGTTAAGGTCAGTTATGTTCACCTGTGCCATTTAAACTTATCGTTGGTCAAGTCCAGCACGTATAGATCATCTGTGGAATGCCCAGCAGGACCTATACCACCCTAAACATAGAGATTAACACATATCAACTTTAACACTCATTCAACCCAGTAAGAAGTTAATTCATGAACTTTGAAGCTATCATAAACCCAGTAAAAGATAACCTCTAAACTTATACTCCATCTCCAAAACCCAATAAACACAAAAGCCTCTAAATTTCGAATCATTCCTTGAAATGTATTACTCAATTCACCTGAAATACAACCATAGTGCCCACCGCAGCCGCCGTGAGCTGCCCTCGGAGACGGTGGCTCACCTGCAGGCCTCATTCTTCAAAATTTGAACCACCCCCAAAGCAGAAGAACGATCAGTAAGAATCCAATTCAATTCCCACAAGTTTTGCAAAATACAGAAACCAAAAATTGATAAAGCAATTAGAAATTACCTAGTCCATTTCCTGGTGAGAACATCGTACGAATGCACCGAATTGGTCACCCCAGCTAACCCTACATTCACAATCAGATCAAATTCCAAAGAAAAGCAAAACCGAGATTCGAATTGAAACAGTAGTACAAATATCGAGGAGGGACAGAGATGGTAACTGATGCCAGGGGCGGAGGCAGCGCCGCCTTCAATGGCGGTGGCACCGCCGAAGAGGATGAGACGGGGGCCATGGGTCTTAGTGGCGGCGACGGCGGTGAGGGTGTGAGCGCAGCGGGGACCAGGGGCGTCGTCGTCGCAATCCCAATAGGTCTCGAGAGTACGATAGGTCGGCGCCGGGTACAGCCATGGCTTCGAACCCATCAAAACCCAAACCCGGAAGCAGGAGCAGCACCACCGCCAGAGCCGTCTGATTTGATCTCCTGATTCCCTCTCTCTACTCTCTACTTTTTTCTCTCTCTCAACTTTCTACGCGGTGACGATGATGAAGCTTTGATCGCTGAGATTGTCGTGCTTCTCTGTGGGGCCCGGCCTTAGGCTGCAGGCACTTCAATTTTCTTTTTCTTTTTTTTTTAATTTTTTTAATTTATTTTTAATTATTTATTTGATGGAAATTGAATTGAATAATCGTAGAGGTCCGTAGGTGTTTCGGACTTTGGGTCTTCTAGACTACGCAGAAAGTCAACGGCTCCATTTTTCCGTAGAGGGAATCTCAAAAGTCAAAACTATACAATTTCTGTGTTTGGAGTTGAGTACTAGTAGATTACACACTAGAAAATATCCCGCTATAATCAGTACACATGTTATAATATGATTTGACGGTAGTATTAGTGTTTCTCATTTTTCAGAAACTCCCGGGCACCAAGCACAAAAGCGTCCAGACCATGGGAAAAGGATCCACTTTGTGGGGTTTCAGATGATCAATCAATTATGTTCGTTCATCAAACATTATACGGTCAGAAATTATAAAATTTAAAATTAAATATAAATAGTACCTAATGAAAATTAACCGCACGATATACGATGAACGAACATAATTAATTAATCCTCCGAATTCCCACAAAGAGGATCCGCAAAGGATCCTCTTCCCAAACCATGGGGAGTGGTGGGTGCTCTGATGTGTCGAATATGGGTTTATATCATATAAGCGTATTTGACTACTACACTTCACAAAATCCAAAAACTTGAACAATTCAAATCTTTTTTTCATTCTCTTGAATAGTCTGAATCTCTCGATATACAAACTTTAAACACAGAAATCCAGAATAAATCTTATTCGTTCTAGAATGGCCTAAAGGTGTTAGTCTTTTGAATATCCGCCCATTTATTTCTCTAATTTCAGCGAGGCTTTCTTTTTCTTGTCCATATTGTCCACAAAATGTAACAACATAAAGACTCTGCCGAAGGCGTTCATATCCAAGGATCCATGTTTCATGCCTGCAACAAGTAGCTCTCACTATATAAAAATTCCCGGCACAACATTTTTCACCTCCGACAACACCGGTCGGTCAACGCCACCGGTCAGGTAGCACAGACCGGGGAACCTTCAAAGTTTTCGGAAACTAGGGAGAAAGAATGTACAAGTGGCATATTTTTCAGTACGAGAGAATAAGCGCACTTCCTTAAGTTACATGGTGCTTTTGAGGGAATCGGACTCTGAACTTGTAACTTGATCACCGCATTTGACTTTGGAATGTAATTTATAGTTCATACCCGGATCCACCTGTCCCCAAGGATTCGAACAGACAGACTAAAAGGGGTAGGCATATGGGCCATATATATCAGCATCCACCACATGCTTTTGTTACCACAAAGACAGCCTACCGTGTTCTCATGAACTTTTCTAGACCAATGTCTAGAACCTCCTGAAGCTGCCGTGACTTGGTTGCTCCGAAAATAACACTTGCAACGAGGAGGCGGCTCGAAACAAAGGCTGCCAAATGCATAAACGTATATATTTAGCTCAAGAAATTAAAAGAACTACGATATTAAACCAACAATTGAGAGCCAACAATCATGCTGCAATCAGTAGATGGCTGTATGGTTTCAGCAACCATGTCGAGAAAAAGGGACGAGGAAATTTCAGAAATTCTTTAGAAGTAATACTTCATTTATAATTACAGACCATCATCATACCGAGACTTTTATCGGAGTTTTAAACCCTGGATTCAGAATTCAGAAATCTTTCAGTAAACCTATCAAAGTTAACAGACGAAAATCTGTACCATGGCTGCTGCTCTTATGATGTGATTGGACAGGTTGTATCTGGATTCCCCTTCAGAATATTTCCCCTGGTGAAGAAACATAACAGTTTAATCAATACAACATCATTGCATAGAGTGCAGAAACTCCTACATTCTAAAATATTAGATGGAAAATCTTGAGAAATGACCTCTACAAACATTCAACCGAGCATCTGCCGGACCCCCATCATGCGAAAGATACTGAGAGCATGCCCATTGCAAGGGGGCTGTAAGCTAGTAAACCGATCCTAAAACGTTGAATTGAACTGATCAAGAAATTGGCATTGGCAATTCAAAGTTCGAACAAATTTTCCCTTTAGTTTCATGCGTGATGAATAGTTCAGTTATCACTTTTTCCGGAAATCAAACTCTTTGAATACCTCTCATGATGACAGCATTTAGCCAATCCAGAATCAAAATTTCGGCATAGCAAGCTGTATGCATTCTGTCAAACAAGCAATCAGTCGAATTAGTCCAAAAATCGATACAGCAATACAGTAACCATTTGAGTGAGAGTGAATTCCATCAAATAGACAACCTGCAGAGACACAATCTTGGGACGGCAAGTGCTCCTTTCAGCTACCTGAACAAACTTCATGACACCGTATGGTGTTTCGTTACTGAGACCAACATATCTGATATACAAAACAAAACTTTTCATGCATTAAGCCATCGCCATGTTCTCAAACCATTGCAATAAAGAACAAAATCGCCAAACCAAACGACTTATCAACAAAGAGCGAAAATAAACCAGCAGTATGAAATTAACCTTACCCGAATCAACAGCTCTCCCAAGAGAATCCAGTTGTCCCTCCATAGGAATTGAACAAAGCTGCCGCGTTGGATCATATTCTGTTTCCCCAAACATGGGAACATAGCTACGAAAACAATCACTAATCAGCTGAAGTGTACTAAACACTCGGCGCATTGAAGCACAAGTTTCTCCAAATCGCGGTGAAGTCAAGTAAATTCTTTGAAAAGTAAACATACTTAATTGGGAAAAAAAAAATTAAACTTTGAACATCATATAGCAATTAACTTAAATTTTGCACTAATTTTACAAACCACTACAAAAATATGTCTACATACAAACCGATCGGGTCAATGAATCTGATAAAGATCGATGTAATCCGTCTGCAACCGCCTTAAATTGCATTTAAACATTACATAATCCATCACTAAGCAAGTCATAAAACAAAGTGCTTAAGCAGAACCAAAATTCTGAACTATATTGCTTGATAACACCATTAGCATGGCTTGTTAGAACTTAAAACCAGAGCTTATTAACTACCTTGGTGGCCAAAACGATGATGTATCGTTTTGCTCTCCCTAATCCAGCGGCCGGGGTACTCCTCGCTCCTCCCCTGAGTCTCCGCTAGCTGAACCACCGGGTACATTTCTGCCGAGTCGAAGAAGTTGATTCCGGCCTCGACAGCTCCGCCGAGGAGTTGAAGGGACTCCGGCGACGAGTTCTGCTCGCCGAAAGTCATCGTCCCTGCGAAGAAGAATGAGTCAGATTCTCAGTGGGAATGCAACGGACAGTATTGGAAATTGGGAGAGGAGGCAGGCGAACCCAAGCAGAGCTTTGAGACTGTTAGATTCGCGGCGAGGTTGACGAGCGGCGCCGCCATTGCTTCCGCCAGAGAAGCTCTCTCGGAGTTTGTGAATTGTGAGCGAAGGGCGGAGAACGAATTTACTTGTTTTGGTGGGGATTTAAGGGGCTGAATAAGATAAAATGAAACGGAGCTACTATTTGCACCCACAAAATTTCTCATTGCACCGCACATCAACACAAATCACTTAACCCACCCGCCAAATGGCAATTCAAATTATACCAGGTAAAAAAAAAAATTGGAATTTGAAACTTCTAATTTCTAACTTTAAATTTCATATAAATAAGTGTCATTTTCAAATTCTATAGGAAGAGTTTAAAAATAAAAAATTATGTATTTAAATTCTATTGTTTTCCTCATCCAAAGACCAATGTTAGGTTTTTTCGTTTAAACACAGTGTTAGTTTTTCCTCGCCTAACTTTCATAGTTAGTACTTTCACATACATACTTGTGTTAGCTTTAGACGTCAAAAACCCAATTAAAGTATGACATAACACTTCACACAACAAAAATTCTACAAAAACATACGCAATTTACCTCTCAAATATTATGAAATTCTCACTATACTACCTTTAATTTTTTTAATCTCACTTTCATAACTAAAATTACATTTTATTCCCTGATTAATACTTTCAGGAGGCATTTGTTTGCCCTCACTAAACTTCCTTGGATTGGACTGGCTTAGCTGGGATTGCTAGCCGGTATTTGATGCAAACAAGGATTACCATTAATGAGACTAGATCGGACTCGCACTGATTAAGTCTTTCACTAGGTAGTCTTAACAAGGACCCCCAATATGTATGGGATTGCTAATCTTGTCCTCAAACCTGCACTATTCGCCCGCTGCATCGTTTACATGTTGCGTCGTCTGCAAGTGTTCCTCTGCAACACCTTTTAATCACCGCTCAGATCTGAAACAAAGCCGCACCTACTGTCCAAACCTCAAAATCCAACCACAAAATTTTTTAAAATAAATTAAAAAAGGCAAAAAAATAACAACAAAATTCAAAATCCACCCATTTCTAGAAAATTATGAGATGGCTTTGTAGGCGAAAAAGCCAATGCATGTATCAGAGAAAGGAGAGAGATCCGAAATTTTTTCGAAAAAAAAAGGATAAGGAAAGTGGAAATGCTTTAACAACGACAAGAGGGTGAAGAGGATAAGCTTGTTTTGAAGGATTTGCAATGAACTTTACCTGTGTTTTGTAGGAAAAAGATGGAGGAAAGAAGAAATGAGGTGGAGCCAAAGGGAGAAGAAAAGAAAAATAGTTCTAGAGGCTAGTCTTTTTGGAGTAAAGTAAAAAGAGAATAAATATGCATTAAAAAACATAAAATATTATTATATAAACATAAAATAATATAAAATATTACAATATATGCATTAATTAATATAATATTATAGTTTCTTAATTATCTTGTTTTTAGTCTAGTCTAAATCAATCCAACTTTGTCCTCTAATCCGAAATAATCTTACACAACAATCTAATATTATTCCACTTCGCTTAAAAATAAAAAATCTTAAATTCAAATCTTATACATAAGAAATTCGATAACAGATACAGCTTAGCTGAACAAAAATCATTCCCATTTTCTGATGCGAAATTTTCTTCCCAACAACCCAATTATTCAACCAATTTTGTTGAAGTTTAACAGCATTAGTGCGCAGATTAAAACTCCAATGGAAAGAGAAGATTCAAAGAAATTACTCCAAGCTTCGTGACAAAAGAATAGTCAGAGACACAGATACCAAACAAGATCATAATAATTTTGTATTAAGCCTGGAATTTCCCAAAATTTTACAACCCATTAAAATCCAGACTATTACAATACAACCCTAAAATTCTTGTGAGGCAGATCCGATGTCACCTTTCCCCTTCCCAGCCTTGCTCGGCAGCAGATTCTGATGAATGTTCGGCAAGACGCCACCGTTTGCGATCGTAACAGATCCCAAAAGCTTGCTCAGCTCCTCGTCGTTTCGAACAGCCAGCTGAATGTGCCTCGGCACAATTCGGTTCTTCTTGTTGTCTCTGGCTGCGTTTCCGGCGAGCTCAAGCACCTGTAATATCCAATCAATCCAAATGAATTCACTGCGAATTAAAAAAAAATTACCAGTTCGAGAAAATCAGTAAGCAACCATAAATTGAATGTGAATCATATGATCGAAGAACATTTTTGATAAAATCAGAAATCGATTCCAGCATTTTCTCAGAAGCCAAACAGCAACCAAAATCAGCAGTAAATCCTTAAGAAAATTCAACATCATCACAATCAAATCCATCAAACCGCATTGGCAGTTAGAACGAGTCAAAATGTCAACAATCGCATCCCAAACAGAACTCGATTCCAGCATTTTCTCGGAAGCCAAACGGCAATTAAGATCGAAAAACGAAAAGAGCAATGAACAATCGGAATGAAGCAGAGAAGATAACAAACCTCAGCAGCGAGATACTCGAGGACGGCGGAGAGGTATACGGGGGCACCGGCGCCGACACGCTCGGCGTACTTGCCGGACTTAAGAAACCGAGCGATACGGCCGACGGGGAACTGGAGGCCGGCCTTGGAAGATCGGGAGACGGACTTGGATGCCTTGGGCTTGCCTCTGCCGCCCTTAGAAGTCGGCGAACTCATATCGGAATCGGGATCGAATCTGAAACCCTAGAAGCGAAAAAACGATAAAAATAACGGACAATGCGAACGGCGTGGGTTTCGATGGTTGAAGGGTTTGGGGAAGGGAGTGGGTTTATATAGAAGTGGGTGCTGTGTTTTGATTGGACGATGAGGTTAGGCGCGGATCGCCAGCTTGTAAATTTGAGTTTCGGCGGAAATTAAAAAAGGAGGGAGAATTTTTTAGGACGAGGGAAATCCGAAAAGTGTGACCATGCCTCAAAAGAAACTGTTATTCCCAAAACGGTGGGCTTTAGTTGCGTTTAGCGCCACTCTAAAAACCCAAAAAGCTGGGCTAGCTACTTACTAATTTACAAGGAGTCCATATCCTCGTCACAACCTTTTGTGAGAATACGTGAATTGAGTTCGTTCGGTTATAAATTATTTTAAATATTTTTATATAAAAATAAACATAAACAATACTTGACAAAAATTGACCGCACGATGTACGAGAAATGAACACAATTCACGGATTCCCATAATCCTCACCAAAATGATCTGGAGAGAATCTTGTTGGATTTACTGTTTACGAGACCGTAAAATGCTACTAGTTTTCTTAATTTTTTATAAAATAATATTTGGAATAAACAACTCAAATTAAAAACCACACCATTTTGTAGTTTGGTCACCCAATTTCGGGTGCATTTTTTACGTCTATTCACTACATAAATTTTGAAATTTAAGTTTATCTAACCACGATAAAATAGCAAGCAAAAAATATTTCTCCCAATATAAATTGTGAATTGCTCAGCATGATATATAAATTTTATAATGTACTATATTCAAAATTGACAAAATTAATAGTTTTTTTTTAGGAAAACTAATGAAAAATAAAAAATAAAAAACTTTTGTTTTAATGAAAGATAACAAATAAAGATATAGTAAATAGTATTATAAAAAGATAAAAATATAATTTTTCGTTAAAACTTTTTTTTTTTTTGTAAAGAAGTATGTGTTTGAATAAACTCCAAATATTGCTTGAACATTTTCCATTGCTCAATACAAAATGAGATCAGCCATACTTTTTTTCTCTGTTTTAGAGAACAACATAACCAACATATTAACTAATCAATTATTATAAACTCGATTACATTTATCATTTTGTTTCTTATGCAGTACCTTCCTGTGACATGAAAGTGAATGAGTCCAAGACTCCTTATTCTTTTTGTAGGGGAAAATATCATTTATTTCATACTTTGTACCTATTTTTTGAGTTGAATTTTAAAAACATTTTAGTTAACTCGAATAAAATTTAAAAAAAAATCACTTTACTTATAAACAAAAAAAGGTTAAAATACTTCTATAAATCTTTCCAATCCCTAAAACATATGAATAATCATAACTTACCACCAATTTTCTCCCTTTTAAAAAAAACAATAATAATTCACTTTACTCGACCATTCAAAAATCAAATCCAAGAAAAATGGGCAAAAATATAAAAAAGCACAACATAATAAAATTAATAAAAAAAACCACAGGAGCAATTATCCGAAATTAAATCTGCATTGAAGGAAGAACAGTACAAGCGAGCAATATTCCGGTAACCCAAAAGCTTTACAATATTACCAAAAGCCTAATTAATTTTAATTTCCTAAAACTACCCATCAGAAACCCAGATCCTTCATCTACAAAGGATACCACTTTACTTTTCTAGAACCTTAGAACTCCTGGGAGGCAGACCCAATCTCGCCCTTCCCCTTGCCGGCCTTGCTCGGAAGCAGATTCTGATGAATGTTGGGCAGAACGCCGCCGTTGGCGATCGTCACAGACCCCAAAAGCTTCGTAAACTCCTCGTCGTTTCGCACGGCAAGCTGGATGTGCCGAGGAGTAATCCTGTTCTTCTTGTTGTCCCTAGCCGCATTCCCGGCCAACTCCAAAATCTATACGAAATTCAAAAATAAAATCAAAAAGTTAGCCTGCAAAATTGGGAGTAGAAAAACGAGAAGAGAAAAGAGAAATTGATTGGACAAAACGACGTACCTCAGCGGCGAGGTACTCAAGGACGGCGGAGAGGTAGACGGGGGAGCCACCGCCGACTCGCTGAGCGTAGCGGCCGGTCTTCAGGAACCGGGCGACTCGGCCGACAGGGAATTGGAGGCCGGCCTTCTGGGATCTTGAGACCGACTTGGTGGTGCGGGGCTTGCCCCTGCCGGCTTTGGTGGTGGTCTCAGCGGTGGAGCTCATGATTTCGATTTGGAAATTTTGAATTTTAGGCTCGGAGGATTCGAAGGTGTTGAAATCTTGTAGTGGTTCTGGACTTTGTGGGGATTATATAGAAGGAAGGGGACGGTGCAGGGAGCGATTTGATTGGTGGAAGGGGTTTCACGGGGATCGATGACGTGGCAGGAGGAGATTTTTGTGGATTTTAAATGTTTCGGGAGCGCGGGAGCCGAAATTTGGTTGGACGGACTTTTTGTCATTCGATTTCGTAACGTCGTCGTTTTGTTTGGGAAGAGATCCCCTCAGGATCTCTCCCACCAAAGCCACACAATCAATTAATCCGGATCCGTAAAATTTGATCAAACGGCTACAAACAGGGAACTTTTTTAAAAATTATAATAATTTTAACCGTTAAATCAAAATTCAAGAACCCAAATTAATTGATTGTGTTTTTAGTGTGAGAGATCCGGAGAAGATGTCTTCCCGTTTTGTTTATCGTAATTATGGTTCGGAACTTCGGATTGGGCTTTTACATATGTTTGGTTTAAGTTGTGGGTTTGTAGGTTGGGCAGACCTTGGTTTTAACAAACTAAAGTTGGTGGACAGAAAACTCACCAATCATGTCGGTGTTTGTGGACAGAAAACTCACCAATCCTGTTAGATATAACCGACAGGAATTCTAGGCTAAAATTCAAATGCAACGACTAGCTAACGTCAGCTAACCGTTATTTTTTAATCTTTTTTTTTTACAATTTTAATTTTTATGTTTTTTTTTTTTACAAAAATTTTTTCCTATAACTTCATTTTTTAAATTCTATTTTTTTCTATAACTTCTTCTATTTTACAAAATTTGTTTCATATTTTTTTTTAATTCTATTTTTTCTATAACTTCTACTATTTTACAAAATTTGTTTCATATTTTTTTTTAATTCTATTTTTTTTCCTATAACTTTTTTCCTATAACTTCTATTTTACAAAATTTGTTTCATATTTTTTTTAAATTCTACTTTTTTCCTATAACTTCCTAAGCCATTATACAACATTAAATTAAATTAAGTAACATGAAACAACATTAAACAATATGAAACAATATTAAATAACAATATTAAACAATATGGCCCTTTGGCCCTCGGTTGGAGACGGTTTTTTGTGGTAGGGCTAAAACGAGCCATATGGCCCTTTGGCCCTTGGTTGGAGATGGAGGCAAATATGGTATTGTACTATTCATTAAAATATTAATATCTTGAAGGGCCAGAGGGCTAAAACTACCTCAACTATTGGTGTCACGACACTTTCATACATCATCTTTTAAAATTGACAATGTCATACATCATCTTACGAATTTGTGCCAATGTCAAACCTTCGTCAGTTTTTCTGTTAATTTCTCTGTTAAATGCTAACGTGACCCGATACGTGTCCCACTCACTAATCCAATTGGATTAAAAAAATATTTTTTTTAATAATTAAATATTCAAAAATTAAAAAAAAAAAAAAATATATATATATATATATATATATTAAATCTCTCTCACTCTCTCCTCTCTCTCTCCCCCCTTTCTCGCCTCTCTCTTCTCTGCAACCCAAAACCCCTTCCCACCCGTCCTCCACCACCCTCTCTTTCCTCTCTCTCTATCTCTCTCCCCCTTTCTCGGCTCTCTCTCTTCTTTGCATCCCAGAAGACCCAGACCCCGGAAGAACAAAACCCACCTTCCCATTGCAGTAATTGTTGCCACAATTCGAAAACCCCAAAACAAAGAACCCAATATTGCTCGACTACTCCGCCTCCCTCATTCCGCCACCCTCGATCTGGAGATCGCAATGACACTGTTCCACGACATCATCTTCCTCGACTATTCTACCTCCCTCACTCTGCCACCCTCGATCTGCACATGGACGCCCAAAACGACGGCGTCAACCTGAACTCGGACTGGGAACCGGTCTGATTTGCGACGAAGTCCGAGTCTGTGGGGTAGTGTGGGGGGGACACGGATCAATGGGCAAGAGTTTGGCGGATGAAAAAACCCAAGTGGGTTTGGGCGGTTCTGGGCACGGCGAGAAATAAGTGGGGAGGAAGGAGACTACGGTGGAGGAGAGAGAGAGGCGAGATAGAGGGGAGAAAGAGGGTGGTGGAGGACGGGTGGGAAGGGGTCGGGGGGGGTCGGGTGGGAAGGGGTTTTGGGTCTTCTGGGATGCAGAGAAGAAAGAGAGGCAATAAAAGGGGGGAGAGAAGGGAGAGAAAGAGAGAGAGATTTAATATATATATATTTTTTTTTTTTTTTTAATTTTGAATATTTAATTATTAAAAATATATTTAATTATTTTTAATCTAGTTGGATTAGTGAGTGGGTCACGTGTTGGGCCACATCAGCATTAACAGAGAAATTAACAGAAAAACTGACGGAGGTCTGACATTGGCACAAATTCGTAAGATGAGATATGACATTGTCAATTTTAAAAAATGAGGTATGAAAGTGTCGTGACACCAATAGTTGAGGTAGTTAAATGGAATAACCATTTATATAATTAGGGTCGCTCAACTTTAATTCAAATGGAGAAATGTTCCCTTAACTTTAACTAGTAGCAATGGTCATTCCAACATAACTCGTTTTGACAAAAAATTTGATGTAATTGATGAAAATGATAATAATTACACACTTTGATGAGTTGAGGGACCATAATTATATAAATGGTTATTCCAACATAACTTATTTTGACAAAATTTTGACGAAATTGATGAAAAATACTATAGCTACACATTTTGATAACTTGAGGGGCCAATGGTAATGAATTTTTAGTTGAAGGACCATTGCTACAATTTACTCAATCATAATTGTATTTGGTTTTCACAATTTTTTCATTTCATTACGAAGTATATGCACTACGATTAAATGTTTGTAAAAATTCCTAGACATTGTTGTATTTTCAGCTTGTTAAATAAGGACAAGGATTGTCTGTCCTCCCACTTCCGGTGCCCTCTTGTGCCCTCCTGTTTGTATAGTCACGGTTAAGCTACGTCAACATTTTATTTTACTATTCATTTTTGTCTTATTATCTCTATAAAAAAAACAATATGAACTGTTAACGTGGCTTAACCGTGACTACGCAAAACATGAGAGCACGGGAGGACACCGAAAGTGGGAGGGCAGACAATCCTTGTCTGTTAAATAATAACATTCTGGAGGCATTTCGTAATTTGAACCCTGTTCCCCTTAATAACAGCAAAGTTAGTGCCTTCCACCAAAAGAACAGCAAACTTATTGCCTGCATGTGTCAAAATAGAGTCCATAAATCCAAAGAAATCTACGTCCTTTCGTTTAATTTCAGCTACCGTCCAATACCAAAATTAGCCAAACCTCTGGTCCAACACCAGGACGAATCAGAGGACCAGTCTGTGCATTTCACAAGGGTAAGTGGGTGAAGGGGAATAGTACGTAGGTATGATACAAACCAAAGGAAATAGAGGTAAATGATACAGAAAATGGGAAACATGATAAAAAAGCATTTTGTGCTTTTTCTTTTATTTATTTGCTTAGCAAAACATAGTACATCATCCCTCCAACCCCAACCCAACTTCAACAACAAACCCCAAATTCCAACCGGGAATAAACATTTTGTGTTGATACATGGAGCTTGTCATGGAGCATGGAGTTGGTATAAGGTCGCGACTCTCCTGAAGGACTCAGGTCACAATGTCACAGCTCTAGACTTAGGAGCATCCGGGATCAACCCGATCCGGGTACAGCAACTCCCTTCGTTATCGGAATACGTCGAGCCTTTGACGGAGCTCATGGTGTCACTACCACCAAAGGAGAAGGTAATCCTTGTAGCTCACAGTTTGGGTGGAGCCGTAATATCTATTTTCATGGAGAGGTTTCCTCAAAAAATTGCTGCTGCCGTATATGTGACGGCTTTCATGTCTGGTCCAACTCTTAATTACTCAACTATATTTGCAGAGGTAATGAATTTCGCACACATAGATTCAGTTGTGCTATATGTCCTTTATAGTGCTTTACTACGAGGAGTTGTAATTGACCATATGCCATACCTTATTCATTGTATCTTGTGAATTAAAAAATGTGATGAATAAGCATGGGATAACTATATCCCTCTCTATTGAAGGTTCCACAAATAAACTTATTTAGAAGACACCTTGTGTGCATTTTGTAACTTTTTTCAATCATCCAAGTCGTCTATATTGTCGTTCATCATGCATACATCATACTTGCAAAAAATTACACAATAAAAAACCAAGGCATCAATCAAATTACATATAGTGAAGCAAGTAGATGAATACAATTCTTAATAAAACAATGAAATGGCTACCATTTAATTCAAAGTCCGTATATATAGTTTTAGATTTGGGCGATGTAGAATGATCTTTGACGGAAAACCTTAAAGATAAACAACTAGAACGTTGAAATATATTGAAAATTGGGCCCTACAAGAGATTATTTAAATAAACTTATTTGGGTATATGTCTCAGTGAAATGGGACTATATGTGTGTATCTCTGATCTCTTGTACATTGTTGTCCGAATCCTACTGAATGAGATATAAAAGGGTAATTAACTAACAAATAATTTTCTTCAAAAAAATGTATAGGTTACCAAAAGATTTGATTTTATGGACTCTCAGTTCAGATATGATAACGGGACCAACAACCCTGCAACCTCATTTCTCTTTGGGCCTAATGTCTTGGCGACAAGCTTTTACCAGCTCTCACCACCACAGGTAAGTCTTAAAGTGTGTCTATTGCAATAGATAGGAAACCTATTCATGCTCTCTTTACCCTGTTGGTTGGTGATTTATATAATGTGCAGGATTCAACCCTAGGGTTATCGTTGGTGAGATTTTCTCCTCTATACAATTACCATGTAATAAAGCTCACGGAAGAGAAATATGGATCAGTTACTAGAGTATTCATCGTGTCCGACCAAGACCATGCGATAGTGTTGGATGTGCAAAACTACATGATAAAAAACAATCCGCCAACTGAAGTGAAAGTGATAAAAGGTTCTGATCACATGGTCATGCTCTCTAAATCCGTGGAGTTGTTCTCCCGTCTCCAAAATATTGCTGAGAAATATTCATAAACACAGACAGGCATGGTTAATCCAGGCATTCTAGCTTGCGCCACATGCACCATAATATTATATATAATATATGTATGAATAATTAAAAGGAAAACTAATGAAAATGACTTGAAAACTTTGAGTTTTAACTATAATGGCAAAATAAAAGGTAAAGTGAATAGTATCAGGATTGACTTTTTAGTGTAAAAATGTGGTTTTTCGTTAAAGTGAACAGTACCGAGAGCTTTTCGTTAAAGTTCCCATACTTAAATTAATAAATTAAAGAAAGTTACTATTTCAACCTGGCCTAACCAAAAAGGAAAAAAAAGATAAATTACACAAAACTACTTTAATTATAGAACGAACAACAATCTTACCTCGTATTTTAAACATTTGAATGTCATGCCTCATCTTATGAATTTGTTGCACTAAAAAATCCGTCAATATGTCTGTTAACTGCTGACGTGTCAGGACCCACTCCATCGCCAATTAAATTGAGAAATTAATTAAATAGTAATAAATTGAGGTTTTTTTTTTAATAAATTTTTAATATTAATAAATGATGAGCCCCAAATATGGAGATGTGGAGGGTTGCAGCGACATCACCATTTTCAATTTTCCATCCCAATTTCCATCCCTTTTTTCCTTCGTTGTCGTTATCACGCGAAGTTCCTTATGTGCGAGCTGGGAAATGGTTTGCGTGCTGGTGGATTGGCAGAGGACTTGGTGGAGGCTATGACGGCGGGAGGTTTTGGAGAGGTGGAGAGGTTTCGAGGGGTTGACGGGAGTAGGCCCCTTTAATTTGGTTCATAAAAACACCGATTTGGATATTTAGAGTAGAGTTAGGGCTGGTTTGGTATTGCTGTGCTTTGAAAAAAAGCTGCTGTGAGAATAAGCGGCTGTGAAATAAAGCCAGTAGAGTGTTTGGTAAACTTTTTTGTGAAAGTGCTTTTGGAAAAAAAAGCAGGATGATAGTGTGTCTTTTCATTAAAGGAGCACTGTAGCTCCGTGTGCTTTGAAAAACTGGCTTTTTTTCAAAGTAGCAAATAGCAGCTTCAGCTTTTCCTTTGATTTTCAGCTTATTCTCACAGCAGCTTCCAAAATAAGCCATTTTTTTTCAGTTTACCAAACACAAAAATGACCCTCAGCTTTTTTTCATAGTGATTTTTTTTAAAATCACCTCAATCCCAAACGGGGCCTTACTTTACTGTTACTTATTGCCTTGGGGATAGATAATCCAAGCCACTCTTCTCTCTTTTTGAAACACTCCAGCCCATTCGTGCAATTGGACTCAAGGCGAACCCAATAGTAAGGTCTAAAATATCGATGATATCGGAAATATCGGTAGTCCAAAAACACGGAAATTTCGATGGAAATATCGGGATATTATCAATATCGATAAAAATTGAATAAAACTGCGGAAATTGTAAGAAAAACTTGAAAATTTTTATTGAAACTTTGTAGGATGTTTATTTAGTCAATTATCTATTAGTTTATCACAAAAAATTGGAAGGAAATGCATTGCATGATGGATTTAACTGATTTAAGTTGATTATATAGCGAGCTGGTAAACATTGTAAGTGTAGAAAATATGTAGTAATTAATGAAAGAAGTTTAAACACACCATAATCATTTATATATAATGAATTAGTACAATATTTTACACTTTATAATATATGTAATCATTTGGACTTGTTGAGGGCAATATAAGTGAGGTAATTTAGGGCCAGAGACTTGCTCAAAATCCCTAAATTGCCAATTGAAACTTGAAAGAACGAGAAGCTCTCCATTTTCCTCTGTGCAGGTAAATCCATGGCGTCAACGAGTCAACGAACCCTCATTCTCCTCATCGCTCTCCTCACCCTTTCCCTCTTCGCCATCTCCGCCACCGCATCAAGGCCCTGCAAAACGTTCTTCGTTTCCTCCTACTCTTTCTCCCTCCGCCATCTCCCCTCCTCCTCTTCCCCCTCCGGCTTCGTCACCGTCGTCACCGAAATCGGACAGCTCCGCCCTGTCCACATCCACCCTGCCCGCTCAGAAGACGTCTTTGTCCCACACCACCACCACCACCACCACCACCACGACAGCAAGAAGCGATCTCAGACGGCACCGCTCTTTCCTTTCATTGGAACGGCTTCTTTGTTGTCATCCTACGACATCAACTCCCTGTGCGATCGCACCAAGGACATCCTGAGCGTCGTTGTTTCGTTGCTTTTCGGCGTTGGCTGCGACGCGCTCACCGCCGCCAATATGTACCTGGCTTGGTCCGTCTTCATCAGTCGCCACGACGACAGCGGCTCCAACTCTTTCAAGTATTTTTGGGTTTCATGTCGCGATATTATCGATAATATCACGATATATTGCCCAAATAATGTATTAAAATGCTAAAAATATCGTCTCCGATATTATTGCGATAATATCGACAAAAATATCGATATATTGACGATAATTAAGTGGATAAATGTGAAAATATTGTCCTCTAAAAAAAACGATATTATCGGAAAAAAATATCGCCGATAATATCGATATTTTAGACCTTGCCTGATAGAGAAGTTAGGCAATAATCGCCTAACCCAACACCTGCATATGTAACGTAAGCCACAAGCCACAATTGAAATTATTTAAAAATTATAAATAAAAAAAACTAATTAAAAACATTAAAAAATATAAATTTTTTTCTATAAATACGTAACCATGCTTTTTCACTTTACACTACATTTCAATATTTTTGAGTACTTTCAACTAATTAATCTTTTATTATTATCCAAAATTAAAAATAAAGTTATCTTTTATTATTTTATAAAATAAAAAAATACTAATATTTTATATCGAATTGTGTAGGCTATTCAATTTAAGAGTGGAGATGCACTTGGGGCAGTTACTATTCATAACAGGTAGTTACTGTTCATTTCAGGGGATTGATTTGCATTTGCTCAAGGGGCCTTCCTGCACTGGAAATGCTCTTAGGGGATTGAGTTGCCTATTAATAGAAAATTTAACGGAAGTCTAACATTGCAACTGAGGTATGACATTACAATGTTTAAAACTTGAGGTATGATATTGTGGTTCGACCCAAAATTGAGGTAGTTTTGTATAATTTACCCCAAAAAAATAGTGCACCAAACAAGTATTATACTATTATCCAAATAAGTGGGATTGTTTTTTATGTACTAAGTGTGGTAGCAAAAATTCGTTGTCTTCAGTTTTGACGAATTTGTATCTACAAAACAATCAACACATTTGATCAAAGACCAAAAGTTTATGCAATCATAAGGTAGGGTGTGGAGGGGGGGGCGAGGGAAGGGGGAGTTTGGTCAATGGACCTTCGATGCCTAATTCAGTACCTCTAAAAAAATGAGTGTGTGTTTAAGACTTGTATGCGCAGCAAAAAAAACTTACCAAAATGTGTCATATGATACTCCAATGCCTTCTCCAGGTTGGTTTTTGACACCTCTTGCCCGAAGATGTGATTAAGCCGATTATATTGTTGGAGAGATTTTTTTCTTAATTATCTGCAAGGTTGTTGCGAAAGTCCGATATTAAACACTTGCACAATGACATTGTCGAAGTCCTATACAAGTTTGAATAAATATTTCCTTCATCTTTCTTCAAAAACATGATCCACGTGATGATTCAATTGTCGGATGAGACAATGCTTGCTAGACCTGTCAACTATCGATAGACGTATCCAATAGAAAGGTATTTCATCTTCAGAAATTTATTAATTCATGATTAATTGGTGATTTAACTAATTTGAATCATAACATTTTATTTCTACAAACAACTCCGTGAATTAAATAAAAGCCTATGGAACAAGGCAAAGCCCGAATGATCAATTATGAAGGCTTGGGTCGGATTAGTCCCTTACGTACTGTGCTATGTACCTGCAAGATGTTGAGACGTTGTTCAATCGTCCTCAGGGCAATAATGACAGTGGAGTAAGGAAGGAAAACTTTCTGTTTTTAGCCAAATCGCACGACCCTTTGGTAAACTAGTATAAGGTGAGTCGTTTACCCAAATGAACATGAAGATAGTGCATTGGTTCATACTTAACAATTGTGACGAGATTATGACATACCTGAATGAGCATGAAGAGTTAATGAATCAGGAACATCATTCACATTTATATACCCAGAAGCAGCGTCAAGTTTCCTTGTCGGTTTCCGAACAAGTAAGTTGTCTGTGTTTTAGTTTATTTCCATAATTGTAATTTCATGTCAACTGCTTCACAATTGGTAAAACTAACATGTTAACTGTTTGTAATAAATTAGGTGAAGGAATTGAATTCGCTCGCTTACATTGAGAAGTTATACAACTTGACTATCGGAACCCTAAGCTATTGTACTTAGGTTGTCATTAATATGGCATCTGGTTCTTGGGGGGCGGTTTGCGATGACAAGTAAGTCTTCTTCCTTTTTTATTTCTCTTCCTACTTCGAATGAAAAAACTCTTCATTATGTGATTCAGGCACCCAAATTGGAGCTTAAACCGATTCCTGAACATTTGAAATATGCATTTTTTGGGAGAGGATGAAACATTACCGGTCATCATATCATCACAACTCACAGCAGAATAGAGGGAGAAAACTGATCCGGGTACAGAAAGATCACAAAACTGCCATAGTTTGGAGCATTGCAGATATTAAAGGTATAAATCCAGCTACATGCATGCATAAGATTCTGTTGGAGGAAGGTGCAAAATCAACAAGGGAAGCTCAACGCCGTTTGAACCCACTCATGATGGAGGTCGTCAAGAAAGAGGTTATCAAACTTCTTGATGTTGGCATCGTATATCCTATCTCGGACAGCAAGTGCGTGAGCCCCGTTCAAGTAGTTCCGAAGCGATCCGGAGTCACAGTTGTTAAGAATGAAGCTAATGAGCTAGTGCCTACACGTGTGCAAAATAGTTGGAGAGTTTGTACAGACTATCGGAAGATAAACAGCACTACACGCAAAGATCACTTTCCAGTCCCATTCATTGATCAAATGTTAGAAAGGTTAGCTGGTCATTCTCATTATTGCTTTCTTGATGGCTATTCTGGATATAATCAGATTGCAATTGCTCCGGAGGATCAAGAAAAGATTACTTTCACATGTCCATTTGGCACATTTGCATACCGGAGGATGCCGTTTGGACTTTGCAACGCTCCCGCCACATTTCAAAGGTGTATGGTAAGTATATTTTCTAATATGATTGAGAAAATAATTGAAGTGTTCATGGATGATTTTTCAGTTTATGGTGATTTTTTTGATACATGTCTACATAATTTGTCTCTAGTTTTAAAATGTTGCCAAGAAACTAATCTGGTCTTAAATTGGGAAAAATGTCATTTCATGGTTTCACATGGATTAGTTCTAGGGCATATCATCTCTGAAAATGGAATTGAAGTTGATAAATCTAAAGTAGAACTTGTTAGTTCTTTACCCTTTCCTACTACTGTCAGGGAGGTTCGTTCTTTTCTTGGACATGCAGGTTTCTACCGTACATTTTTTAAGGACTTCTCAATAATTTCTAGACCTTTGTGTCATTTGCTTCAAAAAGATGTAACATTTGATATGAATGAAGAGTGTGTGGTAGCATTCAACAAGCTTAAGGAGTTGTTATTCACGGCTCCTGTGATCATACCACCAGATTGGAGTTTACCTTTTGAGTTGATGTGCGATGCTTCAGACCATGTCGTCGGTGCAGTTCTAGGGCAGCGTGTCAACAAAGTGCCACATGTCATCTATTATGCATCTCGAACACTCAATGATGCACAGTTAAATTATTCAACAACAGAGAATGAGCTTTAAGTTGTTGTAATTAACATGAGACTGATCTTAATAAAATCCGAACAATTTACAAGTCTCGATGATCCTTTTCTTATCTTTTACATATCCTTTTGGAATCAAGTGATCAAGAATATTTATCGCAGACACAAAGATTGATATTCAAATCTCAGTCCTACTTATAACATTATTTAAAAAAAAAAATCTTCTAGATGAAATCCACTTTATTCAAAATGATCACTGTGATCGGTATAATTCTTATTTTGATCTTTGAGAATGAAAATCAATAGAAGTGGTCTCTAAATTTGTTCACTGTAAATCATTTTGGTATTTCCGTGAAAAAACTATCAATATCCTCGTTAAGTTGTCACGTGACCACCTTTTTAAGGGTGTTTTTGTCAAGTCAACTCCTTCACTTAACGATGATATTTTTAACAGATTTTTCACAAAAGAACAAGGGGCCAATTCTGTTGGTTTTATCTGTTATAGACCTACAAAGGTGTTATGTCAATCTCAAAAATCATTTCTAAACTTTGTTTAGTCTAAAGGTATATAATCCACAAGTCACATTCCTTCGTGGCTTATACGTTTGAATTGGTTTAATCATTAATAATTCAGGCATGATTTATCATGTAAATTGTATTGCCTTGTGTCTATATCTTAAGTTAAGCCAATGTAGGCATCGATATGAGGAACATAGAACGTGCCACTTAACTCTAAGAAATTTTGACTCACTCGATGAGAACACAAAACAAGTTCATATCAATTTGGTTCAAAAAATCAAAATCCTTTCGCTCTTGATTCGAAACTCATTCCAAATAAGTAAACACGTCACCTGAGTTTTGACTACTTCAAGGTTTAGGAACATTTGCAACAAAAAAAGAATAGAAATAGAGCAAAGAAGCGTCAATTAAAGCAAAAATCTCAGTTCTTAAACTTTGATTCTCGTAGTATACATGAGCCGAAGAAGCTTCTTCCAACATAGTATTGGCTGTGGAGGGGAAACACATCTCTCTCTGCCCCAACCATTCAAACTCACCACCACAAACATAAAAAAATACACATTGATTGCACAATGTAACAAGAAATTCTAAAATCTTGATATCGCCATAAAACTTTTCTACACTGCAGTGTGACGTTATTTCAGGCTAATCACATACTTTTAATTATGTGATCAACATGAGATATCGTCAAAAAAACGTTTCAGTTGCACGTTATTTTCGTTATGTGAAATCAGAGAAGGGTGGGTCTTGAAACGGTCCAAATTGGTAGGAACAATTCCCTCCAAGCTCTTCACGTTGGCTCGAGCTCCATGAGCAATCAGCAACAGAGCCACCTGCACGTGCCCCGCCTCCGCCGCGCAATGCAGCGGCGTGTAGCCGACATCATCCACCGCATCCACCACCGCACCATGATTAAGCAACACCTTCACACACTCGATCCTCCCTTTGAACGCCGCCCTGTGCAAAGGGGTCCAGCCATTCTGGTCTCTCCCGTTCACGTCTGCCCCTTCCGCAAGGCAACTCTTTATCCCGTGTGCGTCGTCCGACCTCGCCGTCCGGTGCAGAACGTCGTCGTATCGTAGACAACCGAGAAGACAGGAATGCCCGTTTGTGGCGG